TTTAGATGAATTTTATGAAATTTATTTAATTTTATATAATTTCTATTAGAAGAAATAATAAGAAACTTATCTATAAAAAAATTAATAATTTGAACTTTTGTAAATTAGATTTTATTTTTTAAGATTATTTTTATTTTTTGTTTAATGTTTTTTTTTGTTTGTAATTATGATTTAAGTTTTAATATTTTTATTAAAAACTAATTAAACTAGTTAAGACTACGATATAATGTAATCAATTTAATATAAATTTTTATGATTTTTATACTTTTGGAAATTGCTACTTTATAATAAATATATTTTATTATTTTTAATGCTTTCCGAATGCTTAATCGCCATTACAATTAACATGGAGAGCATAATTAATATCGAAATGAGATTTTATATAATAATTTCTAATAATATATATTATGAGTTGAACAAAAATTAAGGCTTAATCAACTTGATTTCGCATAATATTAGTAATAAGTAGATTTGACAGTTTTTACGTAAACCAAAGAATTTCATGTAATATAATGTATTTTTATTTATTTAAATTTACATCAAAATATATTAAGTTAATATTTAAAGATAGATTTGATATAACTTGAGAAAAGTATATCAAAAAAAATAAAAAAAATTTTGTTGTTATATGAGTTGTAAATATCTTAAAAGCATAATAATCTAAAAAAATCTATATTAATTAGTTATGATGAAATTAGATATTTTAATACCAGATATCTTAATATCCCATATTTTGGTTAGATTTTGTTTTAGCTTGTTATTCTTTCTAACTATTTTTAATTAAAGTTTATTTTTCTATTTGTTCAAATAAATCTTAAATTAATTATTCTTGATACTTAATCTATATATTATATAAAATGCTATCTTATGTATTTAATAGGATATGCATTTAACTAATTCCAAAAGAAATAAGTGCATGGAATTTAAAAAATGAAATTTGTAAATGATAATAAAAGTGGTAAATGAAGAGGCAAAGGAATAAAAATTGTAAATGATAAAAATAATTGATAAATGAATGTGGTAGATGAAGAGATAAAGTTAGCTTAACATGAAAGACTAAAGGTCTAAATATTATATAAAATGCTATCCAATGCATTTAATAAGATATGCATTTAATTTATTCAAAAAAAAAAGTTCATGAAATTAAAAAAATGAAAATTGTAAATGATAATGAAAGCGATAGATGAAGAGGCAAACTTAACTTAACATGAAAGACTAAAGGTCTAAATACTTTATAAAATGCTACCCTATGCATTCAATAGAATATGCATTTAACTAATTAAAAAAAGAAAAAGAAAATGCATGAAAATTAATAAATTAAAATTGTAAATGATAATGAAAGTGGTATATGAAGAGGCAAATGAATGAAAATTGTAAATGATAAAAATA